AGGATGTTTAAAAAAAATATGTTTTATTGATTTTTTACAGCGAGGAAGGGAGAGGGATAGAGAGTTAGAAACATCGATGAGAGAGAAACATCGATCAGCTGCCTCCTGCACACTCCCTACTGGGGATGTGCCCGCAACCAAGGTACATGCCCTTGACCGGAATCGAACCTGGGACCCTTGAGTCTGCAGGCCGACGCTCTATCCACTGAGCCAAACTGGCTAGGGCTTTTTGAGGATCTTATGTGTGCCAGGAAGTACATAAATGGTCTGATTAGACTCTCACAACAATCCTGTGAAGGAAATGCCATTATTTCTTCTTTTTTTAAAATATAGTTTTATTGATTTCAGAGGGGAAGGGAGAGGGAGAGAAAGATAGAAACATCAGTGATGAGAGAGAATCATTGATCGACTGCCTCCTGCACGCCCCCTACTGGGGATTGAGCCCGCAACCCGGGCATGTGCTCTGACTGGATGGAACCCGCGGACCTTCAGTCCTCAGGCTGACGCTCTACCCATTGAGCCAGACCAGCTAGGGAAATGCCATTATTTCAGTTTACAGAGAAGGAAACTAGGGCACAGTTGTAAACTTGCCCGCTCTGTTTTGATCCCGGGTGTCAGTTTTATCTTGCTCTAAGATCCCTTCTCTTTCCTCAGACCACAGCTCCTGAAGTCACAGCTGAATTGAAAGTTGATGCATGCTTGGTGTTTTGATATCGTTTTAACACGTTACTACTTGTGAGCGAGCACCGTTCTTTTTCTTGGTTTTTAACTGAGAGCGAAGGTAACGAATGCTGGGCATGACTTCACTGGGGCCAGAGAACCATGTTATCTGTTCTTTCCTTCTGCGAGCGTAAAACGGCATTTGCAGGTTTTGTGAATTTCATTTTCTCTGAAAATGAGCCTCCATGCGTTCACAGGGCCCCTGCTCCAAGGCATGTTGTTACCTGCGTGTTCAGCCCTCAACTGCCTTCTTGCTCGGAACAGCCAGCCACTCAAAAACAAGGCCCATTATGTAATAATTCAGCCATAACAGCCCTTAGAAAATTACAGACTGCTCCATGCCAGTATGCGCAAACACTCTAATTAATGTTCGCTTCCTCCACAAATGGGCATTTTTCAAAACCTGGCTACAAAATTACATGTACCTTATTCGAAAAGTATTCCACAGGCCTTCCCAAGAATTTTGATATGTATTTAAAGGCTCCTGTTTGGGTCTCGGTTTTACCATCAACAACATAAATGGGTCCAGTGTTGTCTCATGTGTGTGGAATGCTTAGTGGCTCCTGGTGTTGTCATGGATATGTCATCTCAGCCTTCAGGAACCCTGAGAGGTAGGTGGGGCATTTCACCCCACCTTTATTTTATTTTTAAAATATTTTTTTTAATTGATTTCAGAGAGGAAGGGAGAGGGAGAGAGAGATAGAAATGAGATGAGACAGAATCATTGATTGGCTGCCTCCTGCATGCCCCCTACTGGGGATCCAGCCCACAACTTGGGCATGTGCCCTGACAGGAATTGAACCAGTGACCTCTTGGTGCATGGAGCAATGGTCAACCACTGAGCCACACTGGCCGGGCAACAGTTGAGAGGTTGTGACAGAGACCAGATGGCCTGCAGAGCCTAGAATCTTTAGTATCTGATACAGAAGACAAAGTTGTAGACCCCTTTCCTAGAATATGAAAGAGTTCTGAGAGTTGTGGTCTCTGACCCAGGCTCCTGGCTCCCCAGATAAGGTGCTGGTGCCTCGTATGAATTCCTGCCTCTACTGTGCTCCCAGGGATGGTGCTCCCAGCCCTCCAGCCTTATCTCCCCAGAGCCCAAGGCCAACTCCTTCCTCTGGGTGGTCTCTCCGCCTGGTCTCCGCTGGGGCCTGGATACAGGAGGCAGATGTGCTCACAGACGCGCTCAGCTGGTACCCGGTGCTTCTGGCGGCCCCAGACTGGAGACCTGCCTGTACTTGTGGGGCTTCCCTCCCAGCCGGTCGGTGGGACAGGCCTGCTTGTCTTTGCCCAGCCCCTTCCAGATGGCCCTGCAGGGAGCTCCTGTGAGCTGCCCCTGAGGACCGGGCCCTGGCGGCGGGCGTGTGCGGCAGAATCGCAGGCCTGCCCTCTATTCACAGGCCTGGCCCGCGAGCACGGCGCCAGCTCATTATAGATCTTTGACGTTTGCCAGTATGTGTGGGGTCCTGCTGCCTGGCCCACATGGAACCGCTTCAACTCCACGGAGCGAGCAGCCTCATTTCCGTGCTTTCCGTCCGCATTTGGACAGGAGCAGACCACTTAAAGGCCCTTTTTGTGGGGCTGGGAGCCCTTGATTTATTTCCTGGTCTTTAAGATACTGTTTATTGATCCGAGGCATTACAATCAAATCTGCTGCGGAAGAATCCGTTCCTTTTCATCTTTATGTTGTCTCCTAACCACTTAAATGGCTATTTAATGTTTTAATTAATTTGGCATGAAGCCTCTGGAAATGATGATGGCAGTTCTCATATATATAGTTTAATTCGGATATCAACGCCTGTTTTCTCTCTCTCACTTTCTCCCGTAAAAACATTTAAGATGTCGCCCAGCCGGGGTGGCTCAGCATGGACCTATGAACCAGGAGGTCACAGTTTGATACCTGGTCACGGTACATGCCTGGGTTGTGGGCTCAGTCCCCAGTGGGGGGCGTGCAGGAGGCAGCTGATCCATGATTCTCTCTCATCGTTGATGTTTCTGTCTCTCTCCCTCCCATTTCCTCTCTGAAATCAGTAAAAATATATTTTTTAAAAATGTGGTGTAACCCATAGAAACAGGTGTTTTAGGAAGGAAGCAAATCAGTGAGCCCAAGAGCAACTGGAGACCATAATCTGGTCCGAGATGCTGCCAGAGGTCAGGCAGCACCAAGGGGAAGAGTGCTAGCTCAGAGCTTCCCTGAAACTCGGAAATCCGTGCTGATAATATGGGGCACCATGGAGCATTCCAGAAATGAAACCACCATCCTGGGAGATCTTCATCAGGGCAATCGGAGGCACGTCCCACGGGCTCCACCATCCAGATGACGTCCTAGCCCTTGGTGACAGCCACCGGGCAGCAGAAGCAAGTAGCTCATCGTGTGTTTACGGAACTTGGCGTCATCTCGCGGTCTCTAAATATTGGCTTTCACAGCCCAGAGACTAAACAGTGGAACTTCTCGGAGCTTCTCTGAAGTATGTTACATGTCAAGAGTGACATTTTGACAGGGACGGATCAAACACTCTGTGATGTTTTAAAACCAGACCCCAGTTTTGTGTCAAATTATCCCGGATCGTTACCTTCTAGCCGCCTTCCTTGCAACTCCGAGCATGGATTTTCCTGTTCAGAAAAAAATCTTCATTCACCAGCATCCACACATTGAAATACCGACAGTAACCTTAAGCGTACCCACGCTTCACCCGAAAGGCCGCATGCCTGCAGAGAGGAATGCTGCATTGCCTGGAGATGAACACCATTTGTTTCTCACATTCAGGAAGTAAGAATTGAGGCTCATTTCCTCTCTACCCATTTTCTCCATTTCTCTCTTGTGAGCAGTTGCATTTTTCCTATCTGGCATTCACATATCTCTGAAAAAACTCTTCTCAGTTAGGCATAATGACAACATCACTGTAAAATAGAGTATGAGACGCTTGAAAATCAGCCTGTGATGGTACCTGTGCTGGTGAACAGGCATTTTCCCCTGCATGCGTTGACTCGGGCAGCCATGTCTCCGAAAGTGATGGGGTAATTTGATCGGCCGCTGTTATATAGATGATCTGTTAGCATAAGGCTTCTACTAAAATATTTACTACTTGTCCCCGGGCTGGCGCCCCACGGGGCAGGTGCAGCGCCACTTACACAGTGATGTGCTTTGTTCTACCACTTATTTTGTCTGCCCCCCCCCTTCCCTTTTCTGAAGCCACCATCTGCATTTTCCACTTTGAAGTACATTAGTTACTATGGAAACAGTGATATCATTGGTGGGGGCGAGGTTAGTAACATCTACAAGGACAGTTTAAAACCATTGTATTTATTGGTTTGAAATTTATACCGCACTTTGGGGAAATTGCGAGTCTGCTTGAGAGAGGGGCGTGCTTACGCTGTGCAGCGATAGCCAGGAAGATGCGTGTGCATGTAACAAAAATTAGCGTTTGAGTGTTTTTTAGGTTGCCAACGAAAATATGCCTGAACATTAAGAAAAAAAAAATACAAAGCAAACGAAAAGGTGGGGGATTGACATAATGGTTTCAACTGCCCCAGGCTCATGGTTACTGCAGACGCATAGAGTTCCCTGTGTACGTGTGGTTTGTATAAGTAATGGTCCATTTTTCTCCGATGAAAACACTGTGATAGGGCAGGTCGTTGGCTTTCTGAGTGACACCCGCCTTCCAGGAAGTGGCTGATTAATTTTGATGTGCAACTGAGCTCTTAACAAGACCCTTAAGAGGTGAGCGAGGGAGCCAAGTCCCCGGGAATGGAGCAGCCTGTGCCCTCGGCCCACAAGGGAACCAGAAGTGTGAGCCTTTGGCCCAGACTAGGAGATGCTTTTCTGAGCCTAAGCCATGTGATCACTTGGCCTGGCAATCTCCTAGTCATGCTTGAGTGGGGTCACCCTGGCCCCTCCCTGGCCAAGTCAAGTGCCCTACTTTTGGGGTCTCCTTTGCAGCCGACCCCGTCATAACTCCAAACCCTTAAGATCAGTGCCTTGAAGTATGGTTGCCTCTCACTGGGGCGTTTGGTTCCAAAGAAGCAGAGAGACTACCATTGTGTGGGTGGGGTATTACCCACGGACATTCCTCGGTTGCCTAGAAGGTAACCAGTACATTCAGGGCTCATGCTGTTAAACTGAAACCACGCGGAAGGCCCCTGAGACACTTGTCCCAGGAGAGGGCCCGTGAGGACTGGTGAAGTTCACGTCTGCCGTCTCACGCACACACGCAGGCCCTGCCTTTACCGAGTGGGATGGGAATACACCGTTCTGTTCTTTGAAACGTGTATTGTTGAAGCGCTGCACTGGCTTATCTTCGTGTTCCAAGCTCCCAGTCCTGGGCTGAGCGCAGGGACGGTGGTGTTAGGAAACCATTTGCTAAGCGAATGAATGAACGAGCAAGCAGAAAGGTGACATTTACTAACCTGGGACACCAAGGGGCATGTCCCACTGCCTCTCCCAGAGCCACCGCACGTGACTTTTCAGCCCACTTTGATTTTCCTGAGTCTGTGCAAAAAGTATAACTCCACGTAAACCAGTCAGTTCTGGGCTAGAAAACACTAGAAATTGGTTTGCAGTTAGCTATCCCCTGGCACCCCAAGGAGCTGTAGTAAATATCACCCGGTTCTTTAAGACGTGGTTGGGCTGTGCTCTCGGTGCCTGGTGAGCCAGGGAACAGCCGATGGGCCACCAGCCACGGCGTGGTCCAGGCCGGCGCCGGCCCTGTAAACAGTGGGACTAGCGGCGAGGCCCTGGGAAGGAGCCATGAGCTCCAGCCGGTCAGGTTCCAGGCGGGCTATCAGCTCATCTTAATCTGCAGGTTGCCAAATGCTTGGAGACCGGTTGTTAATAAAATAACCCCATCCCCACCCCCTCTTTTTTTTCACAGTTGGCAGGATGTGGTCTTGGTTTCACTTTCACCAGGTGCCTGTACGCGTGGTTCGTGAAGTTTGTCTTGACAGTAAAAAGAGAAACTTGGTAGCGAGACCCTAGAATCCCCTTTCTTTTTTGCCTTTTCTCTCCGTCGACTGAGGCTCTGTGGGGAATGGCAGAAACCCAGGCTTCTCAGCCCGTTTGGGATCTGAACGCCCAGTCTCTGCCTGGCCCTCCTGCTTCCGCTGCTGGGGCGTGGGTTGAAGGGACCGCCTCGCTTGGCTCACGGGGACGTTTAGAAGCCGCCACACAGTCAACATTCTGTCCCGTAGAATTTCCTCACCCAGAGCAGTCATTTCTGGAGGGGTTCCCCTTCTGAGTTATTTGCAATTTTTTTTTCTGCCATTTAGATACCTTTAACGTTGCTGTTGATGATAAGCACCAAGTTGTGATTTGTATCTCTTAATGATTACTAGTACTAGGATGGTGCTGTCACAACTATTCATACTCTCCTAATTATTTCTTGTGTTTTACTGGTTTGTGTTTAGAAACTTTGGTGCCAAGTATGTGTTTGTGTGTTGTTGTTTTTTGTGACTCCAGGTATTTATTATTATTATTTTTTTGTTAATCTTCAGCCAAGGATATTTTTCTGTTGATTTTTAGAGAGAGTGGAAGGGAGGGAGGGAGAGAGAAACATCAATGGGAGAGAGACACATCCATTGGTTGCCTCCCACACTGCCCGGGCCAGGGCCTGGGATCAAGCCTCCAAACCGAAGTACGTGCCCTTGACTGGAATTTGAACCTGGGACCCTTCAGTTTTCAGGCTGATGCTCTATCCACTGAGCCACACTGGCCAGGGCTGAGCTAACTCTTCTTATCAGCTGGGAAGCTCATCTCTTGCGCTCCTCTTTTAATTAAGATTTGCTTTGCACCCTCCCCCCCTCAGTTTTCCCATCAGGCCAGGTCTGCCTCCTATGGGCCCTGGCTCACCATACCTGCCCTGGACGAGGATCTGTCTTCCCTGTGGGACGAGTGTGTGCAGTCCTCCAGTGCCTCCTGCCCAGGAACTCAGCGTGACTGTGAACTTGGACACGGGATTGGCCTCCTTAGGCTTTGCCCTTCCAAAGAGATGTCACAGGCAGGCTCCCAGCAGCAGTTGTTTCGCAGCGTGACCATATTTGTGCGCTAAGTCATCCGGGTGCAAGGACGCCTGTGGCTGTGTTCTCAGGACCTCACACCCAACGACATCAGAGTCGTCTGGCTCGACTCCAGACAAGAATTAGGATGAGATGTGACGGTGCTCTCTGATTCTCTTTAAAGGTTGTGAGGATCAGGGATGGTGGGTATTTAATGAGCCCCAGCAAGATGACAGGTGCTGACAGCACCTAACATCCTTCATTTCCAACCCGGCAGTTATATATTCTCCTTCAGGGCCCGGAGCGTGGAGGTCAGGGCTCCGCTCACAGCTGACAGTGTGGCTGAGGGGAGAAGGACAGGGTTTCTGCGTGTGTCCGTGTGGTGGCCAAGCCTCGCATTCCCAGGGGACGCCTTGCCGGGTGTGTGGCCCTTTATGGGATGGCTCAGGAGGCAGGTGTCTTTATCTGTCAAGCGCCCACTTCCTTGGTTCTGGCTTATAGACAGGCTCAGAAATGCTTCGAGCCCAGCTAGTGTGGCTCAGTGGTTGAGCATCAACCTATGAACCAGGAGGTCACGGTTCAATTCCAGTCAGGGCACATGCCCGGGTTGCAGGCTCCATCCCCAGTAGGGGGCGTGCAGGAGGCAGCCAATCAACGATTCTCTCTCATCATTGATGTTTCTATCTGTCTCCCTCTCCCTTTCTCTCTGAAATCAATTTAAAAAAAATACATAAATGCCTTTGATTTCATAGTTAAACAGAACAGGGCACAATATTTTGTTTTATTCTTCAGTATTCCTTTCTCTCATTTAGAATATTGTCATCCCTTTCTCTCCCTTCCCCCTCCCTCCACCATTGTCCTCAGAGTGCAAGATGGCTCGAGCCATTACCTGAGTGTGTTTGGCCCTCCACGCGCCCCTGCCCATTCCGTTCCCCCAGCTCCAACCCTAAGGCTTTTTAAGATCCTCTTGTCCCGCCTGGCCCAGACGGCGGTGGCAAACCCTGCGCCCCTCCGCCGGCCGCACTGTCCCCCATCCAGTGACATGGTACCGCCTGAGTACACGGAGCTCTGTGGCAGCTGCCGCCACACAATGCTCATCTCATCCTGCCGCCTCCGAATGGCCTGGCAGCTCCGGCCATTTAGAGCCCAGCTGGTGCCCGGTTGCTGGGTCACCCTGCAGAGGCGACGTGCCACTTCGGACTCATAAACAGGTTTTAAGCCTTGGCCCTTCTGAGGGCCTGCTGCTCTCACCTCGTCTTCTGACTGTCTCGTGATGAAAGGCGTGAGAGGTGGCCACGCAGTTTAATGAAACCAGGCGGGAGGCCGCTGCCGCAGTTTTAAATAGCGGCCCTGCCTCCCGAGCTGTGTGCCCTGCACAAGTGGCTTCGTCTCTCTGAGCCTCTCTCTCCGTATCTGGGAATGGAAGGCAATAATTCCCGCGCCACACAGTGCGCGCCAGGACTTAATGAGACGATGTTTGTGGAGAGCGCCTCTTCCAGGCCTTGGCAAGCCAAGGGGCCCGGCAGATAATTAACTTTCTTCCCTTTCTCAGCACCTAGGGTCCCAGGCAGGAGGAGAAAAGGCCAAATCAACTTCAAGACATGCTGTTTTGCTCTGAGCACTTGGCAGGTTTCAGATACGCTTCAGCCCAAGTAAAAGAACTTTAATTACGCCCTCGTTTGCGGTTTGGTTTGGACGGTTATTAACTGATTCGAGAAGACTGCCCGCCCTCTCGCTGCTGCAAAGTGAAGGGCTGGCCGGGAGTCAAAAGCGGATTCAGTCCTTTCTCCTGGGACTCCCTGTCCCCCTGCCTTGGACACAGAGACGGGGCTGGCAGTGCCATCTGAACGGGGTGTGGTTCAGGGACTGGCCTGTTGAATTAGTGCGGGCGGCTCATTGCATTCTCTGATGCATTCTCATTACATCTTCAGCGTGTGTGTGTGTGTGTGTGTGTGTGTGTGTGTGTGTGTGTGTGTCTCGCCCCTGTGCATACACTTGCTGTGCTCTGTGCTTTCCATTCACTTAATTTCACTGTGTGCTTCCAGTTACACAAATGACAAACGCTTGCCTATGATTTGCAGCAAACCGCTACCTGGCGTGTTTAGTGTGACTGTAGTCACACCGCCTGGATCCGGTCTCGGCTCCACCTCGTATTCAGGGACCCCAGGCATGAGAAACCTTAATTTCTTTATCTGCAAAGCAGCCGAGTGACATTGGACTGGAGGAGGTTGCCTGTGATTTGCAGCAAACCGCTACCTGGCGTGTTTTGTGTGACTGTAGTCACACCGCCTGGATCCGGTCCCCCTGTGCATACACTTGCTGTGCTCTGTGCTTTCCATTCACTTAATTTCACTGTGTGCTTCCAGTTACACAAATGACAAACGCTTGCCTATGATTTGCAGCAAACCGCTACCTGGCGTGTTTAGTGTGACTGTAGTCACACCGCCTGGATCCGGTCTCGGCTCCACCTCGTATTCAGGGACCCCAGGCATGAGAAACCTTAATTTCTTTATCTGCAAAGCAGCCGAGTGACATTGGACTGGAGGAGGATTAATTTGCAAAAGTGCCTGCTTAGCACACAACCTGCTTTAGAATAAGTGCTCAGTAAAAATTGCTTGCATTAATATTAGTAGTAGGTAATGTCTGAGCATTTATGATAGGGGTGGGGAACCTTTTTGTCTGCCAAAGGCCATTTGGATATATATATATATATATAACGTTATTCGTGTGCCATACAAAATCATCAACTTAAAAATTAGCCTGTTACATTTGGTTAAGCATTTAATTAACTCACCCCTAATGGCTTGGCAGGGCCAGAGCAAATGATTTCCAGGGCCTCCTACGGCCTGTGGGCTGGAGGTTCCCCACCCCTGATTTAAGATCACAGAACAAGTATATTGTTGCTAAATGAATGTTGTTGGTTCTCTGTACAGCGATTCCTGTTCTTCCCTGACTAAGGTAGTAACATTCGCGCTGCGACTCCGTAGATAAATATAGTTCTGTGTTGTCACAGGGAGGGACTGTGGGGTCCTGCTGACTGTGGAAGGGCATTTGCAGCATTTTGTGGGGTTCACAGCCCCATTTGCCTCCCCTTAGGCTGTAACTCATTGCTCAGCCCTGGTTGGGGCATGTGCATGAGGCAACCAATTCATGTGTTTCTCTCACATCGATGTTTTTCTCTGTCTTTCCCTCTCTCTTCCACTGTCCCTAAAAATTAATGGAAAAATATCTACAGGTGAAGATTAAAAAAAAAAAAAGGCTGGACCCCTCACCCCCTGCTTGCATCTCAAGGGTCATCTTGTCTCAGAACATCCCTTAGAGACAGACAAGGCTCTGTCACAGCTGCATCCCAGCTCACCGTCTCTGGCTGCCCATACTGCTTCCTTCCCTCCTTTCCATGGGCTTGACCCCTAGAATACGCCTTCGTATGGTAGAGTGCCCATCTCTGAGTTTGCCTTCTAAGGAACTCAGTCAGTGACATTAGATGTTGCAGGAGAAGAAAAGTTTTTCCTTCTTCCCTTTTAGGTTCTTTGGACGTCTAATAATTAAACTGACATAAGACAGAGTAACAGGAGAAAAAATAATTTTAATTTCATTCCTACAGGAACCCAAACCCCAGAGATAGGAGATTCCCTGATAGCCAGGCAGTTGAGGCTCACATGCCATCTGAGCTAGGAGAAGGGGTGGGGCCTGCGATTTCAAGGTGAGGAAGAGCAAATGTTTTGTAAACAAGGGTTTGCCCTGCCAGGCACATAAGTCTCTCTGATGTAAAGAGTTATCTTCTTTTTCTAAAATATGTTTTTATTGATTTCAGAGAGAGAGGACAGGAGAGAGAGAAACATCAATCAGAGAGAGAAATATTGATCAGTTGCCTCCTGCATGCTCCCCAACTGATCGGGGATTGAACCCGCAACATGGGCCTTTGTCCTGACCGGGAATCAAACCAGCGACCTTTCGGTGCATGGGATGACGCTCAACTGAGCCACACCGGCCAGGGCCAAAAAGGTTATCTTTGATAATGGCTCTCATCCTGGCTCAGGCCTCCTGTCTAAATTCTTTTAGGCAGTTAGGGAAGAGGTAACCCTTCTTGAATCTGTTGGATCTTGACTGTTTTCAGCTTGAAATAACCCACATGGAAAAATGGCACATACCTGGGGGCAGGGGGCTGCCCTGATCCCCATTAATACAAAATTAGCCGCTGTCCTTCAGGGTGATGTTACGATAAATTTTGGGGTTCTCTTTTCTACTGTATATAAATCTCCAAGTTAACACACAGCTTCATAGAGTCCGAGATCCAGGATGGGGCAAAAGTATGTTTACAATGATTTATAATAATAAAAGCATAATATGCTAATTAGACCGGACATCCTTCTGGATGACCTTCCGGACGAAGCCGGGCCTGCGAAGGAAGCCCAGATCCCGGGTGCCTGCTGACGGCCAGAGGGAAGCCGGTGCCAGAAGCCAGGGGAAGGAAGGCCTACTCTTACGCAAATTTCGTGCATCGGGCCTCTAGTTAATAATAATAAAGAATAAACTATATTGTGAACTTGCAACTGTAAACCTTCTTGTCCCCCACGCTCTATAGTCCCTAGCAAAAGCAAACTCAGGGATGTTCCCCCAGAGCAGGGTTTGTTTGATGTGTGAGGAGCCCGAGAGTAAATGCTTTGGGCTTTGCGGGCTATTGCTCTCTCCCGAGCCCTCAGCTCCACTTGCAGCAGGAAGGCTGCCGCGGTGACTGAACAGATGGGGTGGCTGTGCTCCAGTGCAGCTCTGCTTACAAAGTCAGGTGGAGCCGGAGTGTTGGCTGGAGGGCCATCGCGCTCTGACCCTTGGCCTAGAGAGTGGAGCCACCCTCGGGTCAGTCCTTAAACAGTGTCCTAGTGTCGCAGCGAAAGGACAAGCTGCCTGCCACCGTCGTCCCTCTGACGCTGGTAGGGTCTGATTTCTAAATCCCACAGCAGCCTTACAAGGGGCTCAGATTTCTGTCTCACAAGTGAGGTAACAGGATCCAGGACGGGCGTGCCTGGTCTTAGGAGATGATGTTCCTGGAGGTGAGCGTGTGGATGTAGCCGTGAGTCACGGGAAGCATCGGGGCAGAGGTTTGAGTCGCTGTTTGCAGAAAAGCACCCCAAAGGCGGAACTGACTGCAGACCCTCAGAGCCCAGAGGTGTCTGCAGGGGCCCTGCCCCGCACCACACGCTCTCAGCCAGGTGTCAGGGAATTGTCACAAAGGCGGTAGACAGACCTGTGAGCGAGGCAGAGAGCAGAGAGTCCTTGCCCATTGAGGCTTAGAGGAATTTTCCCATCAGCCACCTGAGTGCAATGAACAATAGAAGGGGCTCATTTAAGGAAAGCCTTTCTCAAGATCTGTTTGGTGAGGAGACAGCCTTGTCATCATCTGAGAAAAGATGGTTTAGGCAGCCTGGCCATCATGGCTCAGTGGTTGAGCGGTGACCTATGAAGCAGGAGGTCACGGTTCGATTCCTGGTCAGGGCACATGCCTGGGTTGGGGGCTTGATCCTCAGTGTGGGACATGCAGGAGGCAGTCGATCAACGATTCTCTCTCATCCTTGATGTTTCTCTCCCTCTCCCTTCCTCTCTGAAATCAATAAAAATATATTTAAAAAAATCAAGATGGTTTAGGCAGAGGGAGCAACAAATTGTCTGGAAGTTGGGACTGTGTTTGGCCTATTTGCAAAATCGGAATGAGGCCATTGAGGTTGGAAGGGTGACACAGGATTGTGGAGGACTGAGCTTGGAGAGGAGGCCTGGTGGGGTTTCTCACCTTGAAGCCTGTGGTCCGGGGTTAGGGTTTTGTTCTGGGTGCCATGGGAATCGTAGGACGATGATAGGCGATGCCTGCTGTCCTTCAAGTAGCTCTTTAATTGCCTGGGTGGTGGGGAGGAGCAGTGCAGGGGTGGGGACCTTGGTGGCTCGGACACAGACGCCTGTACAGTTGGGATCCACTAACGTAGAGCCAACGGAACTTACTGATGGATGGATTGGGTACATGCTGAAGGTCACAGAGAGGGTTTTATGCGCCCTCCTCCCCGAAGGTAGCTAGACAGTGAGACTGGGTGTCTGGCTGAATAAGCTCCCCTCTCCTCCACCCTCAGGAGGCTGCCGGGAGCCTTGTGATCCCAAGGAGGGAGGTTAGAGGCGTATAAAGCACACAGCCCCAGGCACTGTTTCTCTGACTTCACGGTGCACATCACCTGGGGATCTCATTACAATGCAGGCCGGGACCAGGACTGCGAGTCTGCATTTCTGAAATGCTCTCAGGTGATTTCAGCGATGCCTGCGCTTGCGCCAACTTTACCCAGCCAGGACTGGTTCCCTATTACACGTTCCTGCCCAGAGGCATGAAACAGGGACCCCCCGGTGCCTGTGTGTCTCGGGAGCCAGCTGTGGCTAGCAGGGTGCCACTCGAGAGTCAGAGACACGAGGTGGAGGCTGTTTCACTGGACCCCATGGGCATCCTGGACTGTGGCT